CGAGTTGCAAGACGTAGTGGGTGAAGAGTTCCTGAGATTGAACGAAGGTAATGTGAGCGAGTTCCAGATGCAGAAAGCGTTTGGAGCGTTACCCACTGAATTCCCCACCATAGAAGAGAAAGAGGATTTGCACAGAATTATGATGGAGGCGGAACCGTTGCTGGGAGCCTCGGGGTATCGGACCCGAAGGAACATAGTGAGAACCGATGGGGAGTATCCGTGCCACTGCTTGGCGCAGTCGTTATGGTACCCCAAACGCGGGAATCTGATGCTAGTGTGGGACGTGGAGGAGTTGTACTCTACGGGGTTGCCCGATCAGAATCAACAGGTGTCAATCGTGGTGGTTAGTGCCATGCTGGTAGTGAGATGGTTGGAGGCTAACGCGGACACAAGTGAACAGGAGACGGCCGTGCCGACTCCTGAACAGCTGAGCAACGTGAAGATGAGTCGTGAATTTGATCTTTTCAGAACCACCTGCAAGGTTCTGAGAATACCTAAAGCCATTGAAAGAATATGGTCAAGGCAAAGACTGATGCCTTGGTTCCGTGCAGTGATGACGTCATGGATGTATGAACGCGCGAAGCGTCACATGTCGAGGAACACGGAAGCCTATCAATCTTTCCAGCTAGTTATAGGACCGGGAGCCTATAAGAGAGCATTCCTAACGCACAGAAACGCGGTCACCACGGCGGTGAAGCGAGTAGCTGGAGCGCCTTGTGTAACTGAAGATGAGAAGAAAGAGGTCTTAAGAGCTGACCTAGAACGAAATGTGAGCCTGTGTCTTCACAACAGCTTTTGCAGGAACCGGGAGCAAAAGGTGAATGTGGACCTGCTACCTTGTTGCAAACCGAGGCTGTTGGAACAGGAGAGTTGGGGCACGGCCCGCAACCCCATGGACATGCTGGAGAAAGTCCTAGAAGACAGCGAAGCTGAAGATCAGGATGAAGAAGCAATGGAATGAAGATGATGGAACGAAGAGGACAAGTGAAGATGTGAACAAGAAAGGAAGAGAAGGAGAAAAAACTTGATTGTCTTTGTGTGTTAAAACTTGAACCAATCAACCAAGTTTGATTATTGAACTTGTTTAACTTTTTGTTTCGATCTAGTTTGGTCAAACCAGACTTTGAAAATTGTTGCAATTGTTAAAATTGTTGAAATTGTTGATTTTACTTATGACTATTTATGTATGTATGGAGAACATAGGTGAGTATATTTACCTATTTAATCACGACTGAAGTTTTTAACCTGTGTAAGACACAAATTCACTGTGTGGCGACATGGTAATTTTGAGTAAACTCGCTCGAGAAGGGTGGGTAACTCAATAACTTTCCTAGCCACAGAGTTTCTTAGTTTTAATATTGAAAGGACCGCATAAATGACTGATTATACTTGGTGAGTAGTGTTAAGTTAATTTAAACGGGTGCGTGGCCGTGCCACGTCCCAACTTTTTAATCACAAAGAGCGAAAAGAAGTTTTATGGCAAGATGACGTAAGTAGTCAGAAAAAAATTTTTTTTACTAGGAAACTCCTCATGGTGCAAATTTTGTGAAAATGTTAGAAGGCAGTGAGATGTAGTACAATGCCCTTTGTGACACGTAGTGATGTGAGTTGGAGTAGATAAAATTCATTTCCTTATGCGATTTGTAAGATCAATTATAGAAAACTGGAGTACCACTTGATGATAACCCGGTGTTATGCGATCAATGGGGACATTGATGGGGACTGTCCGGGGAGTATGTGCCATTCTGCCGGATTGGCACAGCGCAACCTTCCGGCGACACAGGAAGCGAGGACTAAAGGCCTTAGCAACAAAAAAATGCTGCGAAGGAGGGTCTAGATATTCCGAAAATTCGAATTTATAAAATTTCGATTGACGGGCCAGTATTTCTGAGAAATACAAAAAGACGGCCATTTTGACTGGAAAGGACGAAAAAACACAACAACGACAGGGATAGCAGGAAACAGTCGCACGAAAGAACGAGAGAAACGAAGCCTCTTATCGTGGCAATAACACACGATAAGAACCTTAGCAGTGGAAATTAGTGGAGAAGGAAGCTTCAGTGGGGAAGGAATATTCCACAGCACCCTCCCGTGCCACAAATTGGGAGAGATAAGAACGTTATCTCGAGAAGATCACGGGAGCGGAGGCTTGGTCCCCTAGAGACTGTTGTATGTGAAGGGACTATATAAAACTGACTTTGTAGCTACTTGGATGTAGTAGAACTGTGAATTAACACCGGTATTACTTCATATTTTAGAGTATGAATAGCTAGAAGGAGGAAAGGGTCAATCCATCTAAAATGGATTTAATATAGAACTGGCACACGAAAACATATTAAAATAGGGTATTCGAGCCGTGTTTTTAATAGCAATCACGTAGTCTGAGGATCCGAGACTCAGCTATGGGGTTGTGTTCGCATGTAAAAGAAAGCTGATCAAAAGACGTTTGACTGATGGTCTAAATTAGTAACTTTTTTCTTAGCCCTAAACGGACCAGAAAATCAACTGGAAAGGTCGAGACGGTAAAAAACGCGTAGTATTAAGGTAACTGACGCCTGCCAGTCGTTATTAGGTACTTTTTCTACGCTCCGTCGCTGTGTAGTATTTGGGCGAATGTTACACTGAAGCGGAAGAGCGAAAAAATGAGAAGTATAAAGATCTTGTAAATGATGGATATCTTTTTCAACCGCTAGCTTTTGAAATTCAGGGCGCGGCCGGCCCCAGCACAGAAGTTTTTTTGAGCAAGCTTTGTAAGAACCTAAGCATATGCACTGAGGAACCCAGAGCAGGCAGCTTTTTAAAACAGAGAATCTCCCTGGCAATACAGATTGCGAACGCCGCTTGCGTACTAGGAACAATAAATGACAAAATAACTTTCGACGAAATTTTTTACTTTTAACACTTGTATATTATATTATCTCGTGTCGAGTTGCGTGTTCTTATTGAAGAAACGTAACCCGTATCGATTTTAATTGAAAAGGACTTAAGCACTTGTCATCTTCTTTTATCATTATCAGTTCCATATCTAGAAAAATCCAAGGATTTTGACTGGAATACATGATGAAGGGACTCATGACTATAACCTCGGTTACTATGATACTTTTGGCCTTCTGATTACCTTGATTAAGTCGTCTGGGTTCTGACAACGTGGCGAATTTGCTTTTTTGATGTCAGGGTCAGTCATGTAACATTCGTCTACTGTAGTCACACATGAGGCTTAAGAAAAATAGGCCCTATAACCATTGGCTCAAGAGTCAGGGACACTATCTCTTGTGTTTTTCTACCTCAAATCAGTCGGAGCCAATTCGGTTCGTTTGTGACATGAGACTACGACCC